GTGGGGTCCGTCTTCGCTCCCCCCCAGAAGAAAGGAAGGACAGACCCGATCACGTTCGGGCCAGCTGATCTACCCAACTCTCCAAGCCCCCACAGGGATGAACTGGTAGTAAGCATGTGTATTGACAATGCTTTAATCTGCCGAGTGCTGGTCGATACTGGGAGCAGTGTGAATGTATTGTATCTACAATCATTCGAGAAAAGGGGTCTACAAAGGAACAACCTGACCCACCTGCGGACTCCACTGGCGAGTTTTACCGGTAACTGCATCGAGGCGGAAGGGACCATCCAATTGATGGTTGAAATTGGAGATGAAACCCACAGAGCGTCACTCCGAATGACGTTCGTGGCGGTAGACATAAAGTGCGCCCATAACGCCATTTTGGGCCGACCGGGATTGGAAGATCTGGAGGCAATAGCCTCTGTCCGCCACTCATGCATCAAATTCCCCACAGACACTGGGGTAGGGGTGGCCAGAACTGACCCAACAACAGCCCGGACATGTTATCGGGAGGCCCTGAAACAGATGAACACTCGTGGGATGCGGGTGAATACAATTGAGGTGGAAACCCACCGAACGGAGTTCGAGGCACATCCGGAGCCCGCCACCCTTCTTGAACAAATCGACCTCGACTGTCCCCCGAACCGTAAGGTCGCTATCGGGGTAGATCTGGAGGTAGATATCCGGGATGGCGTGATTGCCATCCTCAAAAAGTTTCAGGTGCTATTTGCCCGGGGGCCAGAAGATATGCCCGACATTGATCCAGAAATAATATGCCACAAACTTGCCGTTCGGTCTGATGCAAAACCGGTCCAACAGAAGAAACGATACCAAGCGACCGAACGGCGGGAATTCACCAAGAAGGAAGTGGCCACTTTGCTAAGGATAAAGCATATCCGTCCGGTAATCCACGTAGAATGGCTATCCAATGTGGTTCTAGCCCCAAAGCAATCTACCTGGAGAATGTGCGTGGATTACTTCGATCTCAATAAAGCATGCCCCATGGATCCCTACCCAGTGCCGAGGATCGATCTGCTAGTGGATGAGACTGCTGGGTGCGAGTTACTGAGCTTCATGGATGCTTTCCGGGGTTATCATCAGATATTCATGCACCCGGCCGATGCAGAGAAAACGGCGTTTGTTACTTCGGATGGCGTGTTCTGCTACATCGTCATGCCATCCGGATTAAAGAACGCGATGGCAACCTTCCAGAGGATGATCGGGATGCTGTTTAAAGATGTACTGGGTGTCACAATGGAAGCCTATGTTGATGACATCCTGATCAAGAGCAAAAAGAAGGAAAACCATGTCCTGGACATAGAAAAGGTGTTCGGGATAATGCAAAGGGCGAATATGAGGCTCAATCCCAAGAAATGCGCGTTTGCTGTAAGAGGAGGCAAATTTTTGGGGTACATGATGAGCGAGAAGGGGATTGAGCCCAATCCAGAAAAAGTAAAGGCCATTGTGGACATGGAGCCCCCGAGGAATCTCAATGAAGTACAGAGATTGACCAGTCGGCTAGCAGCCCTGAGCAGATTCCTATCAAAACTGGCCGATCGAGCTATCCCGTTTTTCCAAATCATGAAGAAAGCCAACCCTTTCGAGTGGACGGCCGAATGCCATACGGCCTTTGAGGATTTCAAGACATATCTGTCTTCCCCCCTGGTCTTGACAAAGCCCGAACCAGGGGAACACCTGTATATGTACCTAGCCGACTTGGCCGTAAGCACGGTTCTGCTGAAAGAAGAAGATGGTGTTCAACGGCCAATCTATTTTGTGAGCAAGGCGTTGAATGGCCCGGAAACCAGATACACCTTGCTAGAAAAGAATATACTGGCCCTGATAGCTGCCATTAAACGCCTGGCCCCGTATTTCCAAACCCACCCGGTCACTGTATATACTACCCAACCATTATCCACCATCTTGAGAAATCCTATGGCAAGTGGGCGCATTACCAAGTGGAGTCTCCTGATCGGGCAGTACGAGGTAGATTTCAAACCCCGGCCTACTATCAAAGGGCAGGCCCTGACAGATTTCATTGCAGAATGTACCGCCCGGCCCTCAGAAAAAGATTCAGAGAACGACGGGCTGGATAACTGGTGGGAAATGTACGTGGATGGAGCATCTAGTGCCAAAGGTTGTGGAGCTGGAGTTGTGATCACATCGCCCGAGGGGTTCAAAGCGTATTATTCCATTCATTTTGATTTCAAGGTGACCAACAATGAGGCTGAATATGAGGCTCTCATTGCTGGTTTAAAGTATGCAAGGGCCCTGGGCGCCGATCGGTTAAAAGTGAGATCGCACAGTCAACTGGTGGTACATCAGGTGAACGGCACGGCTGAGGCCAAAGAAGAAAGGATGAAGGCATACAAGGAAATGGTCGAGGAGCAGATACATAAATTTGAACAGGTGGTGCTCGACCAGATATCCAGAATCGAAAATACTGAAGCTGATATCCTGTCCAAATTAGAACATGCAGCGTTCGACGATCGGGCACAGGAGATCCCGGCTCATATCCAACGTTTTGCCCATCGGGAAACATTGGCAACCCCAGCAATAATGATTCTCCAGATCGAGGCCATATCTTATGCCATCCCGAGCTGGGTCGTGGATATGACCAACTACCTAAAAGACGGAACCCTCCCGCAAGATAAAAATCCTGCTTATCAAATAAAATGCATCCAGAGGAGGGCTTCCATGTTCGAGTTGGTGGACGGGCAACTGTACAAAAAGACATTTGGGGGACCGTATCTGAGATGCCTCCCACCCGATCTAGCGGCAGCTGTAATGGAAGAGATTCATGAAGGTATCTGTTCCAGTCACCAAGGGCCCAAGACGCTGGCCAGAAAAATCATCTTGCAAGGATATTATTGGCCAACTATCCAACAGGACTGCTTCGCGCATACCAGGAAATGTAAGGTATGCCAATTATACGCACCGGTTCCCGGACGGCCTGCCACTTTCTACACTCCAATGACGGTGGCCCTTCCATTTGCAAGATGGGGAATAGACCTGTTAGGTCCTCTACCTACTGCACCCGGAAACAACAAGTACATCATTGTGGGAATAGATTACTTCACCAAATGGGTAGAGGCCGAGCCACTGGCCAGCATCACAGATGTAAAATGCCAGAAGTTTGTCTGGAAAAATATCATTTGCCGGTTCGGAATCCCTGAACAGATTATAACTGACAATGGAAGGCAGTTCGTGAGCCGGAATTTTGAGAACTACCTGGTCAAATGGGGGATCAAGCATTCCAGAGCATCCGTCGCATACCCTCAGGCAAATGGCTAGGTAGAAAATATGAACCGAACCATCATGGATGGCATGAAGAAGAAGCTGGAAGAATACTCCTCGTCGTGGCCTGATCAGTTGAATTACATTCTATGGACTTACAGAACCACACCCCGAACGGCCACGGGAGAGACTCCATTTGCCCTTGCCTATGGTTTTCAAGCCAAAGTACCAACGGAGATCCTAGTTCCCACACACCGAACGGTGCATTACAGCCCAGAACAGAATGAAGATAACTTACGGGCCGAATTGCATTTCGTAGAAGAAAGGAGGGATCTGGCAGCGGCACGAATGGAAGAGTATCACAGAGCCACAAGAAGATACTTCGATAAGCAGGTTAAAGTTCGTTCAATCGAGGTAGGGGACCTGGTACTAAGAAAGAGAGAGAAAAGCAAACCGCTCGAAGGGGGCAAAATGGCACAAAATTGGGAAGGCCCCTACCAAGTATGTAAGAAGTATGCTTCAGGAACGTTTGGCCTACAAAATACCGAAGGCCGACCGGCAGGAACCTGGAATGTAGAGCATCTGAGGAGATTTTATCAGTAAAAACGGCTATTGCCACCTCTAAAAAAAAAATTAGAGAGGGAGACATAACTTCCACAAACTCAGCCCATGGTTAACTCGATCATTCCGGATAACCGAATGACGAACGGGTTAACAACATGGAAGGAAAATCAATTCTCAGTTTAGAGAGTTTTTGACCCTAGAATTACGAAGGAATAAAGGGATCAAAAACGGCTTGAAGAATTGAGGCTCAGAAAATCGGTGCCCATGGTTAACTCGATCATTCCGGATGACCGAATGACGAACGGGTTAATTCCATGGAAGGAAAATCAATTCTCAGTTTAGAGAGTTTTTGACCCTAGATTTATGTAAGAATAAAGGGATCAAAAATGGCTTGAATAATTGAGGCTCAGAAAATCGGTGCCCATGGTTAACTCAATCATTCCGGATGACCGAATGACGAACGGGTTAATTCCATGGAAGGAAGGTCATTCTCAGCCAAACGACTGGGAGTTTGACGCTCAGATAGTCTCACCTCAGCGGTTAATATGAGAATCGATTCTGGAAAACCGAATGATGAACATATTAGCAGTTTGGAGGGAGCCATACATTTCAGCAAGAGTTTTGACCCTGTAATTACGCATTGATGAAGGGATCAAAATGGCCTGGAGTTCGAAGGACAGTGATTCTCACCTCAGCTTGTTAACACGTATAATCATTCTGGATGACCGAATGACGAACGGGTTAACAGCTTGGAGGGAGCTGAGTCGTCAACTTAGCCAAAGTCGACCCTGTAATTACGTACGGGCAAAGGGATCAAAACGGCTTGGAGATGGTGTCAAGACTGTAAGATATGGATTAACCGAGCGACGTTCGGATAAGGTACGGATTATCGTCCGGGGAATCGGAACTATGGTTTTGAAAAATCTCGCCTCAGTCATAAAACTTGACTTGGAAGCTAGTCGCCCTTTTAGCTATAAGTAAGAAATGACCCAACTTCGGCGATCTTGCTTACAGTCCGAAAAGGGTTACCTCAGACCCCTAATATGGATGATACGAGCCAGAGAAAACAGTTCGGAATGCATCGGAATTATGGGTTTGGAAGGAGAGAGCCTCACCTCAGCTTATTAACGCATGAAATCATTCTGGATGACCGAATGACGAACGGGTTAACAGTTTGGAGGGAGCCCCTATCCCAGCCGAGAGTTTGACCCTGTGGTCACGATCAAAACGGCTTGGAGGAATTCACCTCAGCTAAGAGTTTTGAACCCGTGCGTCACGAACAAGAAAAGAGATCAAAACGGGTTCGGGAAGGTGTCAGAACAATTATGAAGAGAGTCTCACCTCAGCTTGTTAACACGTGAAGTCATTCCGGATGACCGAATGTCGAACGTGTTAACAGTTTGGAGGGAGCCCCTATCCCAGCCGAGAGTTTGACCCTGTGGTCACGATCAAAACGGCTTGGAGGAATTCACCTCAGCTAAGAGTTTTGAACCCGTGCATCACGAACAGGAAAAGGGATCAAAACGGGTTCGGAAAAGGTGTCAGATATAAAGATACATAAGCCGAGTGAGGTTCGGCCATGTAGAAAAGATTGTGGACAAAATCAAAGGAATACAAAAAGTGCAACAGACAAAGGAAAAATGTCCAGTTTATTCTTCGGCGTTACTAGCCGGAATATACAAAAACAAATATACAAGAAAGGAGACAACAGATAAGGAAAGGCTATACTAATGGATGATCGCCATTCGGGGAGGATGTAGGCTGAGAGCTCCCTGCCTGCACTGCATCGTCAGGCGCTGCTTTGGATCTTTTCTCCATGACGCGATCATACGTATTCCCGAACAGATCATCGAAGCCTAGTTCATCAGGATCGAACGGCTTGGGGAAACGCTCTAAGATCAGTTCAAGATTCCTATCCAGAAGCAGGTCCTGACTTTGCTTGACGGTTTTCTCGGTCAGGACATCCAAGAAAGATTTCCCTTCCGGCGTGCTGTCCAGGAGGTCGATCCCTGCCTTGATGGGATCTGAGCTCTCACGCAAAAATTGGCCAAGGTGAGGACCTAGGAATTGCCGGGCCGTATTCTCCAGAGCGAGGTTCAGCGCCTTGCCCCGTTGGAAATCCACTACCGATTGCTGAGCAATCTGAGAGGTATTGACCGTGTAGGGTTCGGGCAGATGATCTCTGACAGCCTTATCAAATTTAATGCCAGCAGATTCAGCAGCCCGCACCTTGGCCCGGAGTTCTTTGAGCTCCCGGTCGCGACGACGGGACGTCTCCTGCATCTCGGCCAGGGCAGCTTTTGCTTTCTCACCCTCTTTGGCCTGCTCCTGGAGGTCGGTCGCTAACTTCCGAGCGGCAGAAAGAAGGACCTGGCCGTCATCCCGATAACTGGCCAGGGCTTTCATCTCCTTCTGAGCAGCGAGAAAGGCTTTGTGATAGTACACGCCAGCCTGAAAACAAGGTTACAATGAAAGTCAGAAAAGGTAAAGCATGAGTAATAGAAAGGTATGGGTCAGACTGAAATGTACCTTGAGTGCTTCCTGGTGACCTGCTTCGAAAAGGTCCGACCAGTGAGTCAAGTTAGTGAAGCTCGGGGGAACTTTGATCGCGGTATGACACCACATAGAAGATGGCATCAACCCGAACAGATACCTCCCTTCCGATCTGGGCCCCATATTTGAGAACTCAACAAACATCCGATCATCGATCGGTGTGGCAGTAAGAACCGGAGTTGGTTTGTTGGCAGGTACTGATCTTTTGGGCTCAACCTCCGGCCCGGTCAAGTCAACCACATGGTCGATCGGGATCAGATGATCGCCATCATTTCCTTTGCGCTTTTTTCGGGTTTGCTCCGCCGAATCACGATCGGATATCATCTTCTCTTTCCCTTTAGCAGAGGAGATGGAACGCCGGACGGGTATGGGAGAGATCACACCTACAAGAAAGAGAAATAAAAAATAAGAAAGTTGAATTGCGAGAGCGAAGGATGATCGGGTTAAAACCCTACTATGCTTACCAATTCCAGCAGATAACATGCTCGAGGCAGTGACAAAGCTGCGAAGACTTCTGGTCCCTCCCATTCACAGAGACTCAGCCTGGGAGCGTAGAACGGCATCCACCCTGGGCAGGGAATCCCGGACGGGATAAGCGTTCCACCGGTCCGGGAATGGCAAAGAATCACCTACCCGAACGAACAAAAACCGCTCTTCCCAGTCAGCCTGCGGGGTAACGTTCTCTGTGAACAGCTGACGGTCAGAACGGGCTACCAGCTTCAAGTACACAGTCGTCCAGTAGGGCTGATAGCAGTAATGATAAAGAAATAGATCGACGCTCGGGGTGATCCTCAACTCGTGGCACCGGATAATGAAGCCTGTCAGAATACAGTAGGTGCTGGGCACGAACTGAGCGGGCAGTACAGCAACCCGGCGTAAGAACTCCACTATGAATGAGTGGAGAGGGAACCGAAGTCCAGCAGTCAGGGCATCAAGGTGCACTAGCACGTGCCCCGGTCTGTGCCTCATAGGATGCCGAATGAATCCGGCATAGTATTCTCTTGGTGGGGGCAACAACTGGCTAAGTTGCCGTTCAACATCTTCTGGGAGACGTTGTTTGTGTTTGCGTATGCGATTGAAATGTAGGGGAATGCGGGGTGGCCATTCGGGCATCCCCTTGTTGTAAACCTGGAGGTCATCTCCCGACAGGCATCCATCCTCCTGCGGCTGTTCGGTATGTTTGCTGACCTGAGTATTGGCAGGTTTGGGTGTTTGGGACGAAGAGCCTTCGGCCTGGTTACCAGCGGATGTTTTGCATTTGCGGATCAAAGGCATCTCTTCAGATTCTGAGCTAGAGGAGTAGTACATAAAACCGCTGGAGGAAATTTGGGAATTCTAGAGAGAAAAGGCTTGAGAGTATGAAAAGGAATTCTAGAGAGAGAAAGCTCGAAAGAAAAATGAGAAAACAGCAGGAGGAATTAGGGGAAGCACCTCTCTATAAATAGGGAAAGCACCGCACGACCCCCTAATCCATGAGCAACACGTGGCATTTGGTGGTTACGATTAAAATTGGGGCATTTATGTTTCATTTTTTGTGCACGTACCCCGGACAGGCTTACAGAGGATTAGCAAAAGCCACAGGGGCTTGCTGTTTAGAAAAATGCTAAGGCCTAAATGTCAACCCGAAGCCCGACCGGCCGACAGTATTATAAAAGGGTCTGGAAGAAAAATGCTAAGGCCTAAATGTCAACCCGAAGCCCGACCGGCCGACAATATTATAAAAGGTCATCTGGAGGAGAATGGCTAAGTCCTAAAAATTGGTTTGAAGCCCGACCGGCTATCAATGTTATGAAGGAGTCCAAGTGCAAAGAAAACCGAGAAAACTGCTAAGTCCTAAAATTTGGTATGAAGCCCGAACGGCTATCAACGGCATTACAATTTGAGAAAGGAATAAGTTAGGAAATTGCTAAGTCCTACAGAACAGGCCGAATCCCGAATGACGAGTAAATCATGCATTAAAAACAGAAAAGACAGCACAGAAAGTTTCAGATAAAAGAGGGATATATATTCGTCGGTTCTACTGACCGGGAAGTACAAGCTATTTAGAGAAAAAGAAAATTACAACAAGTAATGAAAAAGTACATATGAATTATTGGCTGGGGGCCATGTCATCTCCCTCTTCATCCTCATCCTCATCATCATCAGATGGGGGTTCAGGCTCTTTTCCCGCAGCTCGATCAGCTTCCCGTTGCTGGGCTCGCAGGTATTTCTCGAACTGCGCCTGGATGATGTCATATGTGGGGAGATCAGAGGCCTGAACCGGTCTCCCCAGTTGATTTTGGAGCTGAATGATGAAGGGACGCAGCAAGACCTGGCCAATTTTGCCATAAAGATCGGAGACAATGGAGTCGTTCCATTTCTTGGCCTCCGGGTCCTTATCCAAGAGGGCCACCCCAGCCGATAGCCGACCGGCACCTTTGGGGAAATCCTTCAAATACGCCCCAAAGGCGAACGAGATTTGGGCCCTGGCATGTTCATCCTTGATGAGGGAGAATTCATCGGAGGATTTAAACATGTCCCGGACGGTGGACAGATCCACGTTCACTTCGTAGGGACCGTCCGGGATACTGGATGGCAGTTCTTCAAATCTGACCCGAGCTGCCTCAGCGGCAAGGATCTTCGCCTGGGAAGCTGCGAGTTGGACCCGAAGGGTACCGACTTCAGCATCCAGCCTCTGCTTTTCCTCAGCAAAGGTTTTCCGTTCGGCCTCCAGAGAGGCGACGGCAGCAGCAGCATGTTGCTCAGCAGAAGACTGGGCAACAATCAGTTCCCGCTCTTTGGCCAGGCGGGCCTCCCGCATCTGAAGGGTGTACAAGCCCATCTACAGAATACCGTTCGAGAATTAGTACTGATGACAGAGAATAAAATTAAGACAAAGCGCAAGAGACAACGTACCTTCAGAGCAGTCAGAGCCAAACATTCCTCAGATTGCTCGACCGGCAACTGAGGGAGGGAAAAGTTGTTAAACCAGGAGGAGGTAGACCAGATCTGGCTCGCAGTAGATCCAGCCCTCTCTAAAACCTCATGAACAGGGTCGGATAGGGAGATCCGCTCGACCTGACCCGTAATGTGGTCGGTATGTGTCTCACCAGCATTCGAGGATTCCCCCCGAACGGAGTCGAAATGCTGGGAAAATTGGTGCAGTTGGTCAGAACCGAACCGATCATCAAGCAGCATGGCCTCTAGTTGATCCTGGTGGACCTGCTGAATTGGCTGAGATTCTGGGAGCGGTTGAGAAGGGGCAGCCTCCTGAGCAGGAACAATGGTGGGAGTAGGTTGGGGGTTCTTCCGGGATTTTTTCCGCTTTCCGCCCCCACCGGCTGCGATGACTCTGCTATCATCCATGGGAAGATCTGGGTTGGGTGCTGAAAAAAGGCAAAGAACAATGTTAGTATCGAGCGGCCCTAGCGTGTGAGAAACTAGAAAAAAGAATAAAGGAACGTTTCTCGCACGGGAAGGACCGCCCGGACCAAGGCACTTGGTTTATCAAACAAGTAAACCCAAGAGAACGGGCAGTACCTATCCCGGCTGTTATAAGTCGTTCGGGGGTTAGATAATTCATGATGTCCATGCATTTATCCTTCTCCACAGCGAGCACGTCATTGTAGATTTCTTCAGTCAGGACAGGATCAGGGGTCTTGCGGGGAAAAGCATTCCACTTGCGGGGAATCAGACCGTCCGGGATGGACACGAAGAAAAACCGGTCTTTCCACCCTTTGATCGAAGTTGGGTTTCCTTTGAACAGGATGTGTCCCGTTCGGGCACTAGTGGCCAGATAGCCATGGGTTTGTTGGGGGGCTACTTTGAAGAACTGGTGGAAGAGTTCTAAGGTTGGTCGGGCGCCGGCATCTTTGCAACGACAAATGAAACCCGCCATTGCTCGATAAGAGTTCGGCATAATCTGGGCCGGTACAATTTCGTAGAAATTGAAGAAAGAAATAAAGAAAGGGTGTAGCGGAAATCTAAGGCCGGCCCTAATTGAGTCAAAGTGGACTATGGTCATTCCGGGCCTATGACGCATTGGATGAAGCCCGGCTTGCAAACGGAAATCCACCGGGTCAGGGATAAGGGCCGGAATTTCGGCCCTATTGTGAGAGGTCAATTTTTGCCTCCTCTCCCTAATCAATTTTAGGTCAAGAGTATGGCGAGGAACATCGTTGGGACGTCCGGCCTCCATAGAGGCCAATTCGTCCTCAGACTTGGTGTCGTCAGAATCCTCACTGGAGGAAGAAGAAGTGCTAGGGAGGTCCTCCGCCTCAGCCCTGGTATTCGTCGCCGTCTCGGTAGAAACACCGGCAAACGGAACTGGGATGGCATCTACCATGGCGGTGTCACGGTCATCCCCATGAGAGGCCATCTCCGAATCAGAAGAATGCTCTGTGGAGCTCATCTCGATCGAAGCCAGAAATGAAGATGGGGAATCCAAGGTTAGGAAGTTACCTGAGCAAGGGAAGCAGGGGGAAATTTGCAGAGAAAACAACGAAGGCCAAGGAATTGCAGAGTCGAAACCCGGAATTGAGGAATTAAGGGCTAATTTATAGCCTTGAAACCGCCGTGTCGAGAACCAATCAGAGAGCGACACATCACTAGGGGCATTTAAGCTAGACACGCGTCTAATGAAAAGACTAAACGACGGTTATCATGATGAATATGGGGAAATGAAGCGGCAGCCGTCAAATCGCAGCATGGGGAACTGATTACTTCTGTACCCCGATCGCCATTCGGGGTATTATGACATTGGTATACTTCCTGATGCACTCACTTCATTCGAGACATCGGAAGTGGGGGACTTGTGTTGGGATATTGACCTAGAGGCCCAATACCCATATCGGGAAGGCCCAAGGCATCCGGCCCAAGTAACAGGCCCATCACTCCATGATGAAAAGGTCCAGTAAGGAGACATACCGAACGGGGTTCGGCCCAAATAAAGGTTGGCCCAATAAGAAAACATACCGAACGAGGTTCGGGCTATATATCATACTTGGGCCAATTTGACAGCATCTTCAGTACGGACCAACATCCCGTTCGAACAACGGCCAACCAGCAAGTGGCCAGGTGCAGTTAATGCCAGACTATGACATCAGCAAGTGGAAGCATGGATGACCAAGTCGGTGGAACAACGGCCAATCAGCAAGAGGCAGCCCATGCTCTCCATTAGTATAAATAGAAGGTTTCAAGTCATTGTAAGGGTTAGATTTTCGATACTCAAGCTCTAGAATAGCATCATTTGCTCTTATTTCTTGTATTAAAGCATAGTTTCCGACTTACTGATCGGGAAATCTTTTGTAATCAGATTGGTTAATTAATACAAGTGGGTTTTCGAGTTCTAGTTAATTCAGATTTTATATTTTCTCACACACTTTGATTCTGGGCCATTCCTGATATATCCAAAGTTCGTGTTGGGCTTTCGGATCTACGGGACTTACCCTCAACAGTATTTAACTATAATTTATTACCCACTACTACTATATATCTGGTTCATTACTTACAAGCACCAGTTTTATTTTTGTTTTGGCTTTATATATAATTTGATTCATTCACGTTGTTGTTGTTGCTTACAAATGTGTCATGCTTATATATTTTTAGTTCATATGTGTTTTGTTACTGTTTGCAAATTTATATCTAGCATTATATTTGGTTCATTACTATCGCTTATTGGTTCATTATTTTGAGTTAATTTTTTTTCAATCCAAACCTTAATACTTTGGTAAACCGAACTCCAAACCGAACCGAACCGTACCAAACCGAAACCAAACCGAAACTTAATCGGTTTGTATTTGGTACATTTTCTATCAAACCGATTAAACCGAAACCGAACCGAGACCGAAGAAAACCGAACCGAAAACCGAAATGCCCACCCCTAACGCAAACCCTAGTCTCTGTCTCCCGGATCCCTAAAGATCATCTCCCATGGAGTCAGGTACGCTTCCGCTCAGTTAATTCTCTAGATAATTTCAATATGAAGATTAAAGTATTATCGGATTTATTCCAACAAGAACTCGTCCCACACTAAGAACATGTTTACTTCACAGGTTACTAAGAGGTGCTTATTAAGACTTACGTTAATAAGCGACGCGTAAACTAAGCAGTGATATAAGCTCTGAAAACTTGAAAAAGACATTGAATTTTATAATCCTAGAGAACGACTAGGCTTTCAAAACCCTGAAAACTTGAAAAAGGTTGATTGCATCCAATTACATGACATTAGGTACATGAAGTTAAGGTTAACTAAGTTAATGAAATTTACTAGTGCTTCTGAAACTATTGCAGACGAAGAGGACAAAAGGAAGAATAGAGCAAAAGCTGAGATTAGATTTGATTATACAGATCTTAATGACAACTATGCTACTAGACAAATTCCTCTTTCTGATGACTATATTGTCCTCTCTCCTCCTGAAAAATCAAATTGTGTCCAATGAGGAAGAAGCCTCCACTTCAAAGATTTCTAAACCATATATTCCTGAAATAACAAAGAAAATTGATGATCTTCATTCTTCCTTTAAAGAAGAACGATAAAAATTTAAATCTAAAAAGGAAAATCATTTGAAAAAAAAAATCTGAATTATCTGATGAATCCTCTCAAGGCACGAAATCTCCTGGAAATTCCTTTTTTGAAAAGAACAAAAAGAAAAATCATTTTAATAAGAAAAGGAACTTATCTTCTTCTCCACATCCCCATACATGAAAATCTTTTTCTAATCACAATGCAGGAAGGATGACTGACAAGCACTTTGTCACGGTGCGTCAAAATAATTCGATACTAACACTTATACGTAGTATAGGTGAAGTAGAGTTTGTATCCACAGGGAAATGAACAATCATCTTTTTATGAAACTTTAGTAAATAAAAGGGGGGTTTTAGCGATGAATGATTTAATTAAATTAAAAACTAAGATGAACGACTTATATGAGATTTAATTCAAGAATAAAAGGGACTTGGCTTTGCTACTTTCCACTTGTTGATATATTTTAGTCGATCCTTGTTATATCTATAACTTATCCCCTCTCGAATACTCAATCGAGGAGTATCTCCAATTCATCGAGGGTAGTTATTAACAACGACCCTTCATTAATAACCCTTACTATTAATCAAATATAGAACAACGTCGTATACCGATTATAATAGTAGCATTCAATCTTTTTAACTCCTTGATGAAATCAATTGAGATTGATAACCTTAACACAACGGTTTTGGTTTAACCAACAAAATTGATCCCTCTTAAATCTATTAACCACGACCGTGCATTAATAAACCGAAGTTACTTACTTGTGAAACCACCAACGATTAACCATCGGTTCGTTGATCGTTTCTAGTAGTAATTAATGTCGGAACGTTAACTAATCGTCACTTAGCAACCCTCCAACATTAATATAGAATGAGATTAAGGGAAGAATTAATAATCAAGAGAAGAAGTTAAGAAAATAACTCACAACTTTAATAATCAACAAGCTTCAAGAGCAAAATCAAGAAATGGAAGTTTAGCTCCTCATTTGGAGACTAAACATAGCTAGAAAAATATAAAGAAATGATATTCTAAACTGAAGGGATGAATAAAAGTGAAGGAAAATGGAGCTATTTATAGGTGTTTTACAACACCTTTGGTCGGGTGCCCGACCGGGTAAAGGGCCCACTCGACCGGGTGCATGTCAAGATCAGATAATCTTCCACGTTTTTGTGTTTTTGCACGTTAAATTGTTGTTAATCCCAGAATACTAACAAACAACAAATATAGCAGTTATAGAAGAAGCAGATAAAAAGATATGTAGATATTATACGCGAATCTGGTATACTGTATGAAAACCCGCCGCTACTCTCCCTGGAGAAGGAGAGCAGCGGCAAACCCTATCTCTCTCTATCTTTACGCCTCTGAACTCTAAGCCTCTTTTTAATTGTTAGGGTTCCCGTAAGTTAGCCTCCTTTTATAGGAGAAGTTGGCTAACTTACGGGTTACAAGGAAGCCCACGGGCTGATACACATTTGTGGCCCGTATTACACGATTAATTAATAACTACACAAATACAAAGATAACTAACTAGATTGAACACCATAAAATATTCCCAACAATCTCCCCCTTGGTGATCAATAGTGTTGAATCAGCATTGCAGCGCAGATATCTTTGTCTTTGTTGTTATTGAGCTTCCTTTGTCTTTGAACTTGACTTCTGAGGAAGGCTATCTGAAGAAATCCTTGCAATCTCCCCTTTGATGTCTTCTTGACAGTTTGATTTTTGATGCCGGGGGTTGAGGGACCTTCAGTATCTTGCATGTAGTCCTTGCCTTCCAGAAGTTGCTCTTGATCAGCTTGGATGAAGTCCGGTGACGCCTCTAGAATGAATGTTCTTTGGAGAATAGGAGACGACCATGGAATTCATCTTCAGGACAGGAGTATTTGACCTTTGTCTCCTCCACAATGTAGTCTTTTTGACTATTTGGAATGAATGCATTTGAGGAGAACTTGTCGGTGGCACAGCGGAACATAATGATGGTTGATTTGTGAGTGTAGCTGACCATTTGATTTGAGTTGCGGAGATAGTAGAGAGGGTGTTGAATTTTGAGATGGAGGAGTGAGGTGTCCCAGAATGATTTGTTCAGTGTTAACAGCATGTGGACCACTCTCCCCCTCATGACGATCCGATGAATCGGGACGTCATGCTGTTATTCTTTTATTCTGCGGAAATAAAAACAGGAAAAACAAGCAGAATGTAAAGAAGATAACGTAGCCCCCCGGGGTCGTGAAGACGCCCGTTATCATCACTATAGAGATAAACTCTTAAGCAATGGCCTGAAAATGTTGGTGATTCTTATGTTGCAACAGCAGGACTTCCTTCCAATCATTAGTCTACATCTGCAATAGATGAGACCTATGGAAGTTCTCGCAGGTCTTGAAGACTAGCAACTGACTCTAAAATGTGTCTGTGTCCTAGAAAATTTCAAAACATTTGGGAAGTGAGTGACTAGACACGACGTGATCAATGAAAGTTCAGTGGCATGGGGCTGAGGCCACTGTAGTCAGTATTACTTGCCTCGGAAGGAGACAGTAATGAGAGATGCGGTTCCCCGTGAACTATGATTAAACACCTGTCTGTTGGGAGACAAGTGAGTGGTCTAGGGTAGGGTTGTGCATGCGCCGTTTGGACAAAATGCAGCGACTTCTACCCGGGATCTGAATAAATTCAGTCCTGAACCTATGGGGATAGTCCAGAGTATTTTAGTGGCTAGGAGCAAATGTTCAATTCATAGCAGGCAATTGAGGTAGCAGACTCATCATTGATAATTGTTTTTCTTCTCACTTGAGCCTTCTGCTTCCTAATGCTCATAATGTTCACTCACTCACTCGCTCACTTACGCACTTACGCTCGGCTTTGTCCCTTGGGTAGGCTTAGTTGGGTTTACTAAGCCATAGGGACATGTTCTCTCATTACTTTCTTCATTTTCTCTCTGTACTCCCCCTCAACTGGAGCACTCGGTATGCTTTGTCATTGACAGGCACCGGGGAGGATTACTTTGAACACTCCCCCTAGAATGTTGCATCCGTTGAGAGATTCCTTGCTTTGTCGGTGTAAGGCGCCAGGAGGAGAAAACTGAAACTCCCCCTCAGAATGTGCAAGGTTTGATTGCTCACAACTTGTCATACCCTCCATGTGTGTGGAGCAATATGAACATGTACCACACATGACGGTTTCCTGAGCTCACCATGTAGAATTTCAGCATATTGATGATCACATTATGTTGATGAGTCAGGGGAGGCTTCAGCAGTTGATTGTTGATTGTTGTAAGATGACCGTTGACGCGAGATTGATTGAATTATCTACGATTTTCAGACCTTTACATTGAAGTTTAGAAAAGCTTTGACCTCAGGGTGGACTTTGAAAGAATTTGAACAGATTTGCCTAAGTTTTGACCTGGACATCGGTGATTTACAATGTTTGTCGGAAAACTAACGTTTTGACCCTCAAAGACTGCGAGTGAGGGCGCGTGAGAAAGGTTTCTGGGGCATAGCCCGAGAATTAATGTAGATCTTTTTGTTAGCTTTCCAACAAAAAAAAGTTTGCTCAAATCGGATCACCGAGTCAAAAGTTATGGCCAAAACAGTGCGGTGTCGCAGAAAATCTCTAATTTTGAGTTTTTGAGGAATTTCTTCGAAGATGAGGTGCTCGATGTTGAATGTCGAGAGAAGGTGGATTTTAAACAAAATTCTAGAGATTGCCTCGAAGAATGATGGCGAAATCCACCTGCAAAACAAACCTCAGAATATCGAAATCTGCAGAATTGCAAAATGTTTGAACATCGAAAACTTTGGAGTTTCGAAAACCTCATAATCTCGAAAA